GTTTGATATTCTAATACAGAGATGATTGAGCCTAGAAGGTTCTTTCTCACAGTAATAGTCTTTCCTGCTACATAATCCTATATACCGCACAGCAGTGGAATGTCACCACATTTTTAAAATTCCTCTGTAACAAATCCTAATCTCTTAAGCATATGAAGAACTTGTCCTAACAGTGCAGACAGCAGGTGCTCAGAAAGACAAACCAAAAGACATTAATAATTTTCCTATTGCTATTCTTACACAAACACACATATTTCATTAGAATTACAGTATGCACATTTTGTTTTATATTTTCAAGTATGCAACTAATAAATGACTACATCCTCATTGCAATAAACAACCTACTCACTGTTTTATAAGTTACTGTTGCCACTGCAAAACAGTTTTGTATTTGTATATATACTCTTTTCCAGGAGAATTCAATTTCCTATGTAATTCCCATGTAATTCAATATTCTGCTAAGTATGTTTTTCATTCCCCCAACAGGGTTCCATTGTCCACTTTTACACTCTTAATCAATCCTTAGTCCACCCACTTTACTACATAGTTGTTTCCAGCTGAACTGGATGAGCAGACTTCATGCATATCTTCAAGTTTTTTGTTTCATACTAATTTCTACAGGTGGAATAGCTGAGGTAAAAAACACCAGAACGTTTGATAAAAGATGCTAGAAATTTCCTAATTGTGCCCAGAAAAGTCAGTGTTTTCTAGATCCATCAGCAAGGTGTGACCCATCCATTTCTCCAAACTTTCTAAGTTTACAATTTATAATGTTACAACTATAAATTTTATAATTGTGCCTTTAAACTTTTATGGTCAAATATATTTTCCCAGTGGTTAAAAAAAGTTTCAATTTGAATCTTCTTGTGTCCTGGTGAGATTAAAGTGTTTTTCATTTGTGTCAAATATGTACTGACCATTTGTACTTATTACTTCGAATGTTCTCTTCAGATGAAGAAACTGAGGCTCCAAAAAGTCAATGACATGCTCAAAGACACACAGCTTATGGATAACAGAGACAGAACTTTTCTTCATATTCTGAAATTGTTCTTCACTTTGTCAGAATGAGCAGTAAAGGCAATGGTTCAAAGCTCTGTAAGAGTCAAGAGTTGAAGGACATCTAATGAATAGGTAAGTCTCTGCTGGCCAAATCATCTTTATAAAATATTGCTTGGACAATTAAAGAATTCCTGCGCTTTCCTTTTTTGACTTACAATTTCAAGGGAAATTAGATTGAATCAAGACTGGAAGATGCAGAATAGATCATTGGAAAGAGTGTCTGAATGTGCAGATAGCATTCTTCTTACCACCATGGGTCATGGAAGGCTACATAGCTGAGACACTGAAGGAGACTCTGGTACATGACCTCTCCCACTGCATCAGTCTAAGGACAAAGCAACCAACCGCATCTGCTTTATGACAGCAGAATACAATCAGCAAACTATTTCTGGAAACATCACAGAAGCTGTCTTACTATTCATTTCTGAATGCCTTTCTCATTTATATCCCAATTAAGGTATAAGGCCAAGCTGTCACCTGCTGGTTTAACCTTATTCAGCAAAGTCAAAGTCTCCTTTAATAACTAATAGGAGAATCCAAGGGTCAATATAAAAAAGGTAACAATAAAAGAAGAGCCAGAGTTACTCAATGTTAAGAGAAGAAGGAAGGGTGGAGGAGGGAGAAGCTGAGGGAGGGGGAGAAGGCAGCACAATGTACTTAGTAAGAATTAACCTAAGGTTTATTGGATGAAAGAATTTGAAAGACTTAGAAAAAAAGGGACATATTAACATTTACTGGAGGGGGAGAAATCCTAACAGTTTGTCCCCCTTGGCTTTCAGATCTTTTTCCAGGAGAGAACTTTTTCTTCCTGTAACAGAGTGGCCAAGGTCTCCTTTGGGAAAACTTACAAGGCAAATGCCTCTTAACTCTTGTCCAGTTTGAGATCATTTGTGCCCATGACTCTCACAGGCCAAGAAAATGAAAGAGAAGTACTCAAGGTCTTCATTCTCAGCTGTCCCCAAAGTCAAGCTGTGAACACCATGGTTGTCTTATATAGAGAATCCAGGGAATTAGGTGTCAGCAGCAGCAACAGGATTCAGGAGTCCATCCACTAGAAGGGAGCACAGCCCCTTAGAACACCAAAGTGTCTCCTGCACGTGAACTGATGGGTTCTGAGAGACCTTGTATAAAGCAAAACACAGAACTCAAAGAGTCTTTCTCTTAATTGTGTATTGGTTCCTCATATGAGAGTCACTGATTGAATGCACAGAATCCAGAGCCAGACCACCTACTTGGATCCTGGATCCCTCTCTTACTAAGAAAGGAAACTTACACGTTAATTAACCACTTCATGCCTCAGTTTCCCTAGTCACAAGATGAGGGTGATGAGACACAACTTCTCATTTGGTGCTTCTGATAGTCCCAGGAGGAAACAACAGTCTCTACCTCAAGGAGTTATTGAGAAGACTAAGTGCATTCATATCTGTGATGTGCTTACAGCACTGCCAAACATGTCAGTGCTTTACAAGTGTTTGATTAGTCTTTCTTTATTAGCAACTGAAGTGGAGTTTCCAAGTAGCAACTGCAAAAACAGTTTTCAATTCACCTGGCCCACCAGCTTCCAACCTCTGAGATTCTTGCCTATTATTATCTTGGTTTGTTCTTCTCGAGTCTGGAAGATTTTCACAAGTTTGGACTCTATGTATGGGTGGGGGAGAACACATGCACTGTCATTAATCTTGTGCATTGCAGCATATTACACGCGTGATTTAAAGAAGCATAAAACACGTGCATGCTGTCTGGGCTTCAGGCTCAGTGACATAGGTCTCTTGTACTGCCAGGGGCAATTACTATTGATCAGTATTCCAGGGTTTTTCTGGGTCTGATGTGCTTCTGGTTGGGTTCCCAACAGGCAGACCATGACAGGAGGAATTACAAGATGCTTGTTCAAGTTGACCACAGTTCCAACAAGTGATCATACTGGTAGGCTAGACATTGTTCTATGTCCTTCATACACACAATCATATTCAGTTGTCATCATACTCCCAGGAGGTAAAGATTATCAATGTCCCCACTTCACAGATGAAGAAACTGAGACATAAAATTTAAGCAGCTTGCTCATGGTCACCTAGTTGTTGAGTGGCACTGCTGGGATTTAAGCCTAAATACCTTAACCCCAGAATGCAGGTAGAATGGTCTTACTACAACTCAGAAAATTGTGATGTCTACTAAATTCCTCTTGCGTTCTTCTCTTCAGGGTCTGTGTATTTTTTAGAGCATGGGATGAGCATGGGTATGTGTATGGTGAACACCAAAAATACAGAAAGATACAGAAAGATAGAAGGGAGAAAGATCCAATCATGATGTTATCACCCAAAGATTGTTACAATTCAGGGGTGTTTTCTGCTAGCATTTTTCTAAGCATGTGGTTTTCTTTTACAAGTTTAAGCACATGTGATTGAACGGTATATATAATTTTAACCTTTTTTTCTTCCTTATTTAACATGTGCTATGTTACACTATTAAAAACTTGATAGATTTCTTTTATGTAGGCTGGATGGTGTATACTGCATGGCAGAGTATTATGCATGCATAATGTATTTACTACTCCCTCATTTTGGACACGTGAGTTTTTCCAGCGTTTTCTCTTTGGGACCACTCGGTTCCCTCACTCCTGATCATTTCCCCTCATGACATTTCTTCAGATCTTCCTCAGACACCTACCGACCGACCTTCATATTCCTCTCCCTTCCCTTCTCTCAAAGTTTCCTTTCTGGAAAGGACCTCATAAACTCACTCATGCTAAGGTGTACATGGTTGTTAGAGTTCAGTGGAAGGGACGAAGCTCTCTCTGACTGTGAGATTTTACTCATGAAACCTGGGCCGGGGAGGGTCCCCTCACTCCTAATGAGAGAACAGATTCCACAACAGCAAAATGAATGAGCGCAGGGCTCATTCAGCGTCAGATCGCTCATGAGGGGACTGCTTAGAGTCGCCAAAGCAGTGCCATGACAAAGAGAAGGAAAGAAGCTGAGTCAGTGAGGGTGAGAAAGATGGGTAGAAGAACGGAGGTGAATGAGAAAATCCACAGCGCAGACTTTTCTGTGGCACCACTAAGCCAGTTCCTCCAACACTCCCGCCTTTGCCTACCTCACGTGTTTGGCCTCGGGGCTGGGCCCGCCCACCTCCTCAGAACTGCAGGGCCCGCTTGTCAGTCCTAAGTACTCTACCACCTCAGGCAGCTGTGGGGCCTGGGGCGGCCACCGAGCAAGTCACAAGGAGCGAAAGTGAAAATCCTGAGAGGGAATCGCCCCCCCCACCCCCGCACGCGGGCGACACTGCGGAGCCCTCAGCTCACAGGCAAACCATGTGGGAGCCTCGCCTCCTGCGACTCTAAGAGTTCGCAGTCCCGCAGTAGGGGAGTAGAGACCCCTCAAGGAAGTCACCAAACCCTGGGATCTCTCACGCGCCTTTCCCTCCTCGCAAAGGGAGGCTGCCGGCTTTCGGGTTGCTGGCAAATCCCAGACTTCATAGGACAGCCGGGGGGCACCCAAGGCGGAACCGTTTCTCCCACCTCAAAGGGTGCCGCGTTCTCCCGCACCGACCCTGGGAATGGCTGGCGTGGTACCAGGAGAGGGCAGCATGCATGATTAAGTCTAAATTAAGGGTGCCTGTGGCTGCGCCCCTCTGGAAGGAAAAAATATATATATATATACACAGGGACGGGCAGACTCCAGGCGAAGGCTGCGGGGCAGGACATAAGCCTCCCGGGGAGACCGCCCCGGCCCCAGGTGAGGCGCGGGACGCCCTCCCACGCCTGCTCCGCGCGGACCGCCGGCACCCCGCGCGCGCACGCACCCGCCTCCCCGGGCCGCCGCTCCTCCCTCCTTCCTCGCTGGTTGGCCCAGGCGCCGCAGAGCGCCGCGGCGGCAGGAGGAGCTGGGCGCGCCCGCCACGCAAAGCCACCCGGCTGGCAGGCGGCAGGCGCAGCGCGCGATCCCAGGCGGCAGTGACAGCGGTATTGGCAGGGCCAGCGCGCACTCTCTCCCAGGCGCACCAGCGTCTTGCTTCCTCCGCACCGCCCAGCTGACGGCCATCCCCGGCCGAGGCGCGCACAGCCCAGCCCCGCACACAACAGCGGCGACCGCGGGGCCCGCTCGGAGCCCGGACGGCCGCCATGGGGAAGCCGGCGAGGAAAGGATGCGACAGCAAGCGCTTCCTGAAGAATAACTGGCTGCTGCTCTCCACCGTGGTCGCGGTGGTGCTAGGTGAGCTGCGCGGCCGGTGGGCGAGGTGCGCAGCCTCACGCGCGCCCCGCGTCCAGGCCGCGTGCGGAGAGCGCGGGTGCGAGGGTGTGCATGGCGCTGGCGCACTCGATGTGTGGGTGCCTGAGCGCCCCTCGGCCTTCGCCTCGGACCCTGCGCGGGGGATTTCGCCATGGCGCTTAGATGTCTGCTCCTTGGGGATTCCATCTGGGTTCCCAAGGAGCCGCCCGCTGATTCTTGCTTTGCCCAAAATGATCAGAGGGGCTTGGAAGGTGGAAAGGGAAGCAGGTAGCTCCCGGTCTTGCCCATTTAGATACAAATAGGTTTTTTTTTGTTCATCTTAACTGCGTTTCCTCTTCCCTCCCCTTTTTCCCTTCTGAATCTCGCTGCCTTGACGGAGGCTGGTGTGTATGACAGCTGTCAGACTGGAGGAGACACCTTGGCCTCTGGGATGGCGGGGCCCCTGCGGGGAGCAAACTGGGGACGTAGCGGCCGCTCACCATAGTACCCGGAACGCGGCGCGCGGCTACTGCCCGCAGCTTGGCTTGGAAAAGCTGCCAGCTTCGAGCCTGAATTCGGGCATGTGCAATTGTGGCCCGCGGGTGGTCACTGGGGAAGTCGGAGAGCACCCTCCTGCTGAGCCTCCTCCTGCCTTCCCCTTATTTTTCCATCAAAAATCTTCCAACCGTCTCTGCTTGTTTCTAAGCACGGGGCTATTTAAGTGATTGACTCCTGACCGATCGCTGGACTGGGTGAATGGCTGCACCCTTGCTCAGCTGTATGAGTTACTCGTATTTGCCTTCGGAATTTCCGCCGAGGTTGTCCGTTTCCCAAATTGGGTTCTGGGTTGCACTTCTTGAGGGTTAGAGTCATGTCTAGCCTCCTTGCCTGTGAGCTCGCACCGGTGGGGACACCCAGCAAGTGAGGGCTGAGGAACCTTCGGGGGAATACGTGGAGTCCTTGGCAAGCTTCACCTGCTTGAAGCTGCAGCCCGGTTTGCTAGAAAGGAGGGAGGGGTAGCCTCTGGCCCTCCCCCACCCCCAGCTTCTTGTGCCTTCTTCCTAGTTGCTGATTCTGGACCTCAGAATAGTTGGTGTTGCCTGCTTCCCCTCCAGTGGTGCCCGTTTTCTCCTCCCCCAAAGAAAACACCTTTGGAAGTTAATGAATGGGATCTGGGGTCAGATGGATTCCTCCAGAACTTTGTGCAAGGGAAAGTCTGGTTTCTAGTAAATAAATAACGTCCTGGAATTACTTTAGCGGAGAACTTCTGTGACTGAGGAGAAAAGTAGAGAAGCAAGTGCTGACTTTTTTCCTCTAAGAAGTGCCAAGTGGCTTTGGGCATTTTTAGGGAATGCTTGTCCTGTCCCCATTAATTCTAAATAGCTGACCCTACAAAGAGGTATTAGAATTCCTTTCAGCCACGTGAAAGAGATGGCCTTGTTTATATCGCTGGTGATAGGAGTCCGAATTCATTTTTCAGCTGTTTTTTAAAGACTTTAGGCAGAGGATAGCCTGAGGCTGGCGTGTCCCAATGGCCTTTGGAAATAGAGTAATTCTGCCTTTTGGGCCATGGAGCTTTCCAGACACACTGCCTTGGTAGCCATGTTGTGCACCACTAGTCAGAGACCATTTCACTGGAGGGTTGGAAGGAATTTTGAGCATTTGCTCCTGGCCTTTGGAACCATTTGCATAAATGCATCTTCAGAGTCAAGAGGCATTGCACGCCCATTTTGTAGAGGTGACTTTTGATCTCAGATGGGTGCTTTCCTCCAGTTTTAAATGTGGTCACTCAAGCCCCAGGAGTATAATTCAGGTACTTTTCTCAAAAAGGGAAAACCACCATTTAAAAGGCCAAAGCCTTGGTGGACATTTGGCCCTCTAGAAGGCAACACAGGGCAGCCCTCTATTTCCACTTCTGGTCTGGGAAGTCTCAAGCCTGGACCGCCCGCCTGCAGAGTGCTCATCAGAAGCACTTCCCAGGGTCCCCCTCTTTCCTTCTTTTTTCAGATAGCCCTGGTCCTAAGCGGGACATCATGCTTCTCTCTGTGTACCTGCTGGCTCACTGATTTAACAAGCAGTGGAATTCCTGCAACTTAGAAGAGTGACAGTGAGTTTGGGCTAGATCATCAGAGCAAGAGTTTATTTTGTAACTTCCTTAATTGGTCCAGAAAAATCTCGAGAGCTCTTAGGCAGCCTGCCATCTGGACATTTCAGCATGTGGACCTTAAAGAGGAAAACCCTGTGAAATGCATTAACTACCCCGATGCAGTGTCGTCATCTGATCACAGCTGCTGAAATGCTGGGTCCCTGCTAGAATTCAGCAGTCCTGGCGCTTTAAAGATACTTTTCCTATTGAAATGAGAAGCGGTGGTTTTTGTGAGCCGGCTGAAACCCTCTTGAGTTTTCAAGATACAGCATGTGAAAGGAAATGACACAGTAAAGGTCATCTTTATTAGGTGTGGAAGTTAGTTCCTTTCATGGAGAAGGAGATGCAATGAGCTAAATTTCTCAGGTTCGTCTTCACAAGAGGGTGGGATGGGATAGTTAGGTGACCATATTCATTCCTTTTGTGACACCCTCCAAGGGTCTGAAAAGAATACCTTGGCTTTTCACTTGAGAGGCCTCTCCTGGGATGCTACTGTGAACACTGTCATTGCTTTCACTGCAGCTCTTGCAGGATTTTCCCTGCTGTTGTAGTGGAGTAGACTGAGCACAGTCTGGAGTCAGAGTCCTGGGTTTGAATTCTGGCACTATGGGGCTCTCCCGTTTAAACAAAGTGCTCATTTTCAGGGATCCTCACTTGGAAAATGGGATATTAGTCATTATCTCATGTATTTGTGGGGTTGATTAAGATCATGTGAAAACACCCAGTTGTGGATAACATGCTCTAATCTAATAACAGCCTCAGTAACATTCATTTTTTTAAAAAGGGAAATGGAAACAGTCATTTTGTTTTGTGCACCCACAGCCTAATTCCTAATTCACTGAGTAGCAGATATTCTTAGGGGAGAGTTTTTGTGCTCTGAATGAGGATTCTGTGCGTGAGGCATCTGTCAGTGTTTTGATTCAAGCCACCCAGTAATCACGCTTTAAAGAGTGTAGGTCAGCCACAATAGTATCCTCGCCTTACTCATAATGTAAAACCTCACCTTTCTCTCCAGACCAGTTCTACATTCTTTCAGGAAGTTGAAAACTCTGATTTCAAGCTTAGGGGTTTTCATGAAAGGCAGTGGCTGTTACTTACACCATGGCACTAACAAGCCTCTTCAGTCTCTGCTTCATTTCCTAGGAGCAGTCGGGAAGCAGCCGTTGGTAGATTTTGAGTCTGTCTCACGTCTTAAGCAATTGCTTTACATTCTTACTAATACCCTGGCCCAGCCTTGGGTCTCCTAGCACGGGTTTCATGTAGTATATAGCTTGCCAGTGCTAATTGGAGACCTGCTAGGTTCTTTCTTGTCCTGTCTCTTTTTACACAAGTCTGTGAAGGCTCCTAAAGACAGGGGCCAGCCCCACTACCTGCAAAGAGCCTGGGCTCAGTTGTGGTTAGGAAAATGCCTATAGCAACCAGCACCTATGGAAGTCATTCATTCAGCAGGTACAAGAGGTCTTCAGAAAGCTCACAGAACAGGTGCTGGCCAGAGACTCAGTGGGGAGGAGATGCTAACCCTGCAAAAAGAGAGAGACAGGATGTGACCCTCTGGGCATTTCCTTGAAGACACTTAGGGAGAAAGTAGTAAAGAGAACCAGAGGGGATTTTTTTTCTGTTCTGGGACTTGAGCCTGATTTAACCTGAAGAGAAGCAATGATTGGAACAAGAAATGCAGACAGATGAGGGAAGGGTGAATGACATGGAGGGAGGCCCTGAGGTAGAGAAGATGCTTATCCAAGGGGTGGGGCGCCTCTGAAGGCCTGGCCCTGGGTAAGGACTGGGACTCCCTCTGAGGTTGAGATAGGAGGGGAGGAGTTAGGGATTAATCCCTGGCCACCTCCTGCTCCCCTTCTTCACTGCTGTTTCTCTTCCATGTGCCCGCTCCCTGCCTCAGATAGCGACTTCCTGTGTCTGCTATAACTAATTTCCACACAATGGATGGCTAGACCGATAGTCATTTATTCTCACCCAGTTCTGCATGTCACAAGTCCAAAATTCCAAATCCAGCAAGGCCTGTCTGTCTAGGAGCTGTAGGGGGCCATTCCTCTTGGACTCTCCCAGTGTTTGGTGCTGTTGGCTGCTCTTGTATTCCTGGAATTGTGACTATATCTTCTAAGCTTTGCCTCTGCTTTCAGATCTCTTTTTCCTATGTGTGTGCATGTGGTTTCCTCTAGCACTTTTTTTTAATCAAATAACAATTATCATTTATTTGAGACAACTGCCATTCACTGATTTGCCAAGTGCCTGTAACAGGCAGGGTAGGGCTGGAGCCAGAGCCAGGAGCGCTATCCAGGTCTCCCACATGGGTGGGGTGGCAGGAACCCAGTTACTTGAGCCATCACTGCTGCCTTCCAGGGTCTGTGTTGGTGGGAAGCTGACTGGAGTCAGGAGGCGGATGTGGCTGTCTTAATTGTTGCGCTGAATGCCTTCTCCCAGGTGTGTCTTTTGGGGTGGCATTTAGAATGAAGCTGGCTGATCTTTAAATCCCATATTGCTGTACAGGGTATTCACTCTTTTGCCATAAGGGTGATGCTCATAGGCTTCAGAGATTGGGCACGTGGGTACACCTGTTTGGAGGCCTCATTTACCTCTCTTCAGGGCCTTACAGTGAAGAGCTGAGACTATTGTCCAAGAGCCCTGTGTAAGATGTGAATGGGAGCTCAGCACCCTGGGACTTGGGGCTGCCCGTGACCTTCTGCTATCCTCGGGCGCAGGAGGCCTGACTCTAACATGGTGTCCAAAACCCTTCACCATCTGCCTCTCAGTACCCACTTCCCTCAGGTGGCACAAAACACCCTCTCTGCATGTGTCACATATAATAAGATCTAAGACTTACATATCACTTTGTACCAAG